TGGCGCCTGCTTCAACGAGGAGCCGTGCGATGGCTGCGTGATTGGCGACGACCGCCTTGTACAGCGCTGGTACGCCCTAGCCCGTCCGACACTTAGCGCTGCATAGGATGCAGCGTGCTAGTGCTACCAGGCAAATGCCATTCGCGTTCACACCCGCCCCAAGGAGCGACGTCACGAGCGAGAGGTCGCCGGCGCCGGCTGCTTGAGCGAGCTTGCTCTCGTCCTACATAGCCAGGACCATGAGTCGGTCCGTCGGTGCGGCAGCGCGCACCCCGAGGCCAAACCAGTCGCGCATGCCCATTTTGGTGGCAGAAAATGTTTGAAAATGACCCGCGTACAAGTGCAACTGGGCCTTTCTCATGGGTGCAAGTGACGCGGCGCGCGAGGGAGGACCCACACCGTCGACAGCGTTGGCACTGAGTCGTGAGTACAGTACCTTTGGTGTCCAGTCGCATATTACGTCATCAGAGTCTTCAATACCGGCATCCGTACTAGTACCGAGTGGCACGATGGCGGCGGTGGAACCAGATCATAGCGTCTTGTCCTTGACACCCGACCCAAAGACACGGCTGTGTCAATTCAGCGGCGACTTTTTTGAAGCACCGCCTGTTGATTGGCTAGACCAAATGGAAAGTGTACTTGATTGGTCTGTTTTGGCCAATCATGTCGAGTGAGAAGATATTTCGAGGAAATCGGATAAATAAAAAATCACCGACTGTCTACGGTCGAGTCTGCTGCCTCGTCCAGAGCCAAGCGATGGCTCACAGCGAATGCCTTGGTGCTATGTACTTACCACGACTATTTCCATAAACGTGGTGTTTCCAAGAACCTGTCTCCCACACTATTTACGCGATCGAAAGACTGAAAAATGGAGGTGGTTGCAACGCTGTTGAAGCCTAAGCTTCCAGCAGTGTAGCATTTCGCTGTGGCATAGACCAAATGCTTTCTTGGTTCTAGTGTGCTCTGGGGTCCATCGAGTAGCTAGCTTATCTTGGCAGCATCGAGTCAAGGCCATGATTCAGTTGGCTGTCTGTCCTCGCTGAGAGCGTTTTGGCTTGTCGACCGCTATCAACGAACCAGATTGCCCCGAAGCGCAATCCCCCCAACCCATGAGCAACAACAACTCATCCCGTCTGCAGTCGTTTAACGCAGTTGTTTAAACACTACACGCTTAAATTAACATACGCCGACGTCGTCGCTAAACGGCGAGCGGCGTCGACTCGGTCGGCACTGTGATCGACACGAGAGGAATTGCCATCGGCGTCACCTCCAGTAGCTGCTCAATGTGACGGTGTCCCCGTCGCCGCGCCACGGCCAGCGGATTCACCTACCCCGCGTCAGTACCCTATCGCACCTTGTCTAGTACCTCGTCCGGCTGGTGGATCTGGGCACCAGCCAGAAGCAGCAGCTCCACCACCTGCGCGTGGCCATTCCTTGCGGCCTTGAAGATCGGAGTCTCGCCCCTCTGCAAGCAACTTCTGTCAATGAACCAGCCTCGGTTGTGGGGCAACGTACGCAGTCGCATTTGTTGATATCGGCGTTCGCTGCGATGAGCAAGTGGACGATGTTGACGTGACCACCGGCGGCCGCGAGGCTCACGGCCGACACACCCGCCTAGTTGTATGTGAGATAAGGCAACTCGTCGCCGGTTCGAGCCACCTTGTTGCAGTGGTTGATGTTGGCTTGGGCCGCCACGAGGTGTTGCGCCATTTCGAATTGGCCTCGAAATGCCGCAAAAATGAGGGCCGTGTCGCCCGTCTACGAGGCACGAGAGCGTCAGTCGCTGCTGTCGTCTGTGTGGAGCTCGTACAAGGCTCTCCAAGTTGGTGTCGGCGTTGGCGGCAACGAGCAGTTGCACGATCGAGAGGTGGCCGAGGTCAGCAGCGCGCATGAGCGGCGTGTGTCCTGCCTACAAGATAGTATGTCTCGTGAGCCTATTTAGCTACAACGACAGAGCATACTGTCGTGGCTTGGTTGACGTTGACGGACGAATGTAAGAAGAGGTCCACAAGCCCTTGGTGGCCCTGGGAAACGGCAGCCAGCAGCGGAAATGAGCCCAACTATTGGGTGGAATGAGTCGGCGCCGCATAGCGAGTGAGGTTAAACGCACGTTGTTGGTCTTGTGCGGGTCGGCACTGGCGTTGATGAGGGCGAGGGCGACCTCGAGCTGCCCGTGGTACGTGGCCAGCAGCAGCGGCGACATGCCGTTCTAGTATCATGGTTAAAACCTCACGTCGGAAGAGTGGGTACAGCCAACCTGGTCGCACTGGTTGACGTCGGCCCCGGCGTCGACGAGGAGGTGGACGACGTCGACATGCCCCTCCGCGATCGCCACCAAGAGCGCCGAGCTGCCGTTCTAATTACATGACGCGCCGTCGTCACAGAAATCCAACCAACCAGACAACGTACAAGACTGCGCGTGTCGATGGCGGCGCCGACGCGCAGCAAGAGGTCGACGATCACGACGTGGCCTTTCCCCGCGGCTTGCAGCAGAATCGACTCGCCGTGCTAGTTGCATCATGGTACCGAGTTCAATAGACAATATTGTCGTGCGAACCCGATTGCATTGGTTGACGTCTGCGCCTGCGTTGAGCAAGAGCACCACCGTGTCGATGTGGTTGGCCAGTGCGGCCACCATGAGTGGCGACTCGCCGTGCTACAAGAAATCCATGTCGGTCGATCCATGTATCAACTTGATAGTACTGCGCGTACATGATTGGGCTTGTCGTAGTCGGCGTGGGCGTTGACGAGGGCGTCGACGACGTCCGCGTGTCCGTGCTGCGCCGCGATCAACGTCGGCGACCGGCCATACTACCAGAATAGAGATGCCATCATGCTTCAACTTGCGTCCAAATCTACGTGGTCGGATTTATTGAGGTTGGCATTGGCAGCAATGAGCAACGACGTCATCTCCAGGCTGCCACGCTCGGCCGCGAGGAAGAGCGCCGTGCCGCCCCACTAATAGTGGCATGTATTTTTACGTCAAAACCACCGTAATATGGTACCGCACCTTGTCGCGCTTGTTGAGAAAGGCGTTGGCGGCTATAAGAACGTGGACGATGCGTGCGTGGCCTTTGCCCGTCGCGACGAGAAGTGGCGTCGTGCCAAACTACATGGCAGCAAGCGCAACTCAGGCGACGGCGCGTGCAGCGTGCAAGTATTGTACCCAGGCGCGCTGGTTGACGTTGGCGCCGGCCTCGATGAGCATCTCCACGATCGCGAGGCTATTGCCCCACGCGGCGTTGAAGAGCGCGGGGTAGCCCTAGCGACTATGGATGCTACAAGATCGCAAGCGTTGCGACGACGTACGAGCTTGGTGGCGTTGGGGCTCACGCCTTGCTTGAGCAGCGCAGAGACCGTGGCGGCATCGCCATGGCCAGCCGCTTTGGCGAGCTTGCTCTCGTTCTACGCACAGCGCTGTGGCGCACCTATGCATCGCAGTGAGCTAGACGTACCCCGAGGCCAAAGAGGTCGGCAATCGCCATGCCACGCAAATTCACAAATGGGTGTTTGGGACATGCAGAGTGATGGTTTGATGATAAACACATTTAACGCAAACGCGTTAAAGTCCGGACTGCGATCAGTCCACTGCACAACCGGGAGCACTTGTACGAATCACGCACCTGGTCCGCCGTGCATCTTCCTTCCTGCGTCGATGGCGTCGATGGCGCGTCTGGTTATTATTTTTCATTATTTTTGATTAATTTGTAGCAGCCACCCCACATTCCCCGGTGCGAGTCACGCTGGCGCGCCGACGCTGGCTTGTGGGTCGCAGCGTTGGTAGCACGCCCAGTATGTGCCAAGAACGGGGCCGGTGAGATGTGCATTGAAATTTCCTGGTGGCCCACGTTGCACTTTGGCTTCTTGAGAAAAGGCAACCTCGCGTCTAATCGCGATCGTCTTGTATGCTGCCGGCGAGAGCTGTGCTGGCCCAGAGAGTACTGTACGTACGTACGTACTGTAGAGTGGCGAGGTGCCAGCGGTCGTAAGCTGCGGACAGAGTGTCGAGTGTCGAGACGCTGTAGCTGTTGCGTGTTGTGCTGCGAAGCGAGCGCAAGCCAAAACCATGGAAAGCGCTCGAATTCTCCGAGTACCCAGTCGCCGGACCTTGCCCCTTCTTAACGACTGGTCCGTGTCGATCTACGATACCGGCAGCCTTGGAAGAAGGAGGAGCTGCAAGATCGCGCTGACGCTCAAAATTCCGGTCCTCGCTGTCGTGCCTCCACAGACGACGGAGTTTGCGAGTTGGCCCAAAGACTTTGTGGTTCTCCAATGCCAAATGAATACGCACGCTGTGCACGAGGTGATGCGAGCGCGGGGCTACACCAGGTAATACCCGAAATATCAACTGTCTGTTGTTTGCGTCCTGTTCTGCGACGGCGCCAGCGTGTTGCCAGCACATCAACTGGCATCTTTAAGCGACCTATAAACCCGCGCCCATGGGTGACGGCGCAGAAAATACTGTCGTCAAGACAAGGTACTCATCACACTTTTAGTAGCGATTTGCCAAAGTAATCGTCATGTGCGTCATCCAATGCAGCAGGCGGCATTGTAGGTGCAACATTTTACTCGGCTCGAAGTCTGCCGTTTCTGGATCGGCAGCGCTCTACACTGCGCTTGAGAATTTGATGACACAAATGCTTGATAGTCGGTACCGTCACGACAACGACGCGACCGGCTTCGGCGGCCGCCAAGAGGCCGGCAACCTCGGCGTGGCCCTTGCGTGTCGCCTTCAAGAGCGCCGACTCGGCGTACTACGGAGCAAATCAG